TTTTTTCTTCGGGTGGCTGCAGCAAGGTCGGGAAGAGCAGAAGCACGCGGGGAAGAAGAAAGAGGAAAAAGGAGAAAAATATCAGCCATCCTTATCCAATTTTCTACCCTTTTAAGTCCTTCAAGTTTGGACATTTTGGCTAATAAGCCCCAAAACAATATTTCTTTCTCAAACAAGTCCCTAACTTAATGCTAAATATCACAAAATTTTGGGGTATTACATAAACAATAAGAAAATAAAACCTAACTCACTTTCATAAGAATCACAATTGCACTTAACATGTGCAACAAGCCTTTAAACCCCTAGGTCACCCTAGTGGACAAGTTGTGTCTCGTGAGAGTTTTCAGCGGATCTACCCACAAAATCCCAATGCAAGAATGCAATTATGTGCTATGCATGCAAAAAAAATTTAGGAATTAAAGTTCAATTTGATACAAGTCTCAAATACTCAAGAGTTCTGATACACTCACTTATCAAAATATTTAGCTCATGAACACTGTGTGTGTGTGTGAAAATTCATAGTAACAAATCTCGAGTTTAGACCTTGACACTTTAGCACTTATTATTATTTTTCTTCCTTTTTTTTTTTTTGTTGTATCGAGTTTCCTTAGGCTTTCTAAGTTACCTATGTAACGAGAGATTTCTGTCAATGACTCCCAAACCAGTTGGCTTTAGGGCATTAGGTAAAGTGACACTCCTAAAAACATACTTACTCAAGTAACAAAGGCCACAAAACATTCAACTTCTCTTTTTTTTTTTTTCTTCCTTTTTTTTTTTTTCAACCATACAACGCATTCTTCCATAAGCTACCACTTGTCTTTTGATGTGAATACTAACATTTGTGATGAAAGCACCTAGTTACTCAACAAATCATAAACTCAAAGTGCTTTGCATACTCATATTTCAAGTCATTGTTTGACGTGAAAGTTAACATGGATCTCATGCCTAATCCCCAATTACTAAGCAACTAAAAACATTAGAGTAGAAATTAACAAACTCTTTTGTGTGTTGGCTTCTTCTTCTTCTTCTTCTTTGTGCTTTTTTAAGTGCTACTAAGTCTTCTCTCTAAACTTCTCACCAAACTTTTGTGCTCAAGTAGAATAGAATACTCATGAACTCAAACTTCATCACAATGGTGCTACTTTTCAGATTTTGTATCTCCTCTAAGATTAAAAGATTTTAGAAGTTTTTGAATTTTTAACTGAAAAATATTCAATTCCTTGACACTAATTGGACCAATTCCTCTAAAATTAAAAGATTTTAGAAGTTTTTTAATTTTTAACTTAAGAATATTCAATTCCTTGACACTAATTGGACCAACTCCTAAAAAAAATTAC